TGGGCTGTAGGATCCAGAATGATACATTTTCTTCTAACAGTTTTCATTCTCCCCGTTCATTTCACCCTCTTTCAGAAGCGCTTGCAGCCTTTCCCTGTCACATCACTGGATTTGTGCCCATCACGTAACTCGGGATGCTCAGTCACATGGTGGCACGCTCGTGTGTCAAGCCAAGCGACTGTTGGTAGGTCTGATCACAACACACAGGGACGAGTCTAATTCCGAGGAACTTAACTCTTGCAGAGGTGCTGAGCACATGGCAGAACCTTAATCTACCCAAGAAACATCCAAGATCGGACTCTTAACTTTAGTCTCTGCTCTGATGCAGCCACACCAGTGTAATTGCATGGGAGCAACCACTCGCAGAGATCAATTATGCCTTAATACGAGTTTATTTCTGGGCTTAGTTACTCTAGTGAATAGACTGAACAGAGATTGTGCACCTCACCATAGTCCACAATGATCTGAACAGCGCATTATCTGTACTATAAACACACCAAACACAGTATCTAATATGTCTTAACCATGAGAGTTCTGTACATAGAAGTTTATAACCGTGTTTCCAGAAAACCGGTAAAGCTATCTTTATTTTGCAACGGGCGTTGATTGCACATAGTGAAAGCCCACTGAGTTGACAAGATTTGTGCAGACAATTAGTCTTTGCTTACATAAATGCCTTATTTGTGTGCACAAATGATTATATGAAAAATTCATATGCACCTACAATATCATATTTAGGCATAATTGCTTGTGAAGAAACAACAGTTTGATTTTTTTCTTGCAGTTAATTAAATTCAGAGCTTAGATTAAATTGTATATTTGTTTTACTTCAGTGAGCAGAAGGCTTTCTGAGTCCTTTGTTAATAATACATACTCGTTTGGTAGCAGCTGGCTCTCTAGATGTTACTTTTCCAATAAAATATATCTTCACAAAGTACCCAGTTTTTTTACAGAAAGCTGACGTTAGCTTCAATGTGTCTGGAAAGTTGTTAAGAAGTCACAGAAGGCATGCTTCCTGCATTATCACCATACCAATTTCTTAACGTAAATAAGAATCTGGTTTTATAAATCTGAACCAAAATATGCAAAACAGGTACAGAGAGGGCCCTGCTTTGGCTTGAACTGTCTATGCATTTTTCCTCTTTCCTTCAGTGGGACTACTTGCAATGGCAAATATGATTTATAATTAAAAACTTTCTTTTTATCTGTACTGCAACACTGAATCTTAAAAGGCTCTCTTGGAACTGATAGTTTCATTCTCAATTCTCTTCCAGTTCCAGAACTGCACTGAGAATGCCTTGTCATTTGCTTGACAGTTTTCTTTTTTAATGTAATAGTTACAAAATGTTTTGCAAGTGCCAAGTAACAAGGTGTACCTTTACTAGAACAGTGCATATATGAGCAGGAGAGGAGAATGCTCTCATTAGCACATCTGACATAAGGGCATTTTTTATCAGAAGCGAGGCATCCTATTAAAGGAGGAGATATGCTCCTTTCTATTACCTGCTAAGGAATGTGTCTGGCATATTAGCCCACAGGGGAAGGTGAAAGAGATGTTGTGTGTCACATTGCAAGGATAAAAAAACAGCCCTAAGCTGCAGGTGGGTATGCCTTTATTGAAATATAGCTAGCGGGATGGTACACAGTGTAATTGCACTAGTTACACTTGTCTAAAGCCACTCCTGCTCCAAGATCTCCTCCAAAAAGTGTAACATAGCACCACATCATAGAATCATAGAATCATAGAATCATAGAATGGTTTGGGTTGGAAGGCACCTCTAAAGCTCATCTAGTCCAACCCCCCTGCTGTGGGCAGGGACATCTTCAACCAGATCAGGTTGCTCAGAGCCCCGTCCAACCTGGAATGTTTCCAGGGATGGGGCATCCACCACCTCTCTGGGCAACCTCTTCCAGTGCTTCACCACCCTCAGTGTAAACAATTTCTTCCTTAGATCTAGTCTAAACCTACCCCCCTTTAGTTTAAAGCCATTCCCCCTTGTCCTGTCGCAACAGGCCCTGCTAAAAAGTTTGTCCCCATCTTTTTTAGAAGCCGCTTTGAAGTACTGCTAGGCTGCAATAAGGTCTCCCCAAAGCCTTCTCTTCTCCAGGCTGAACAACCCCAACTCTCTCAGCCTTTCTTCACAGGAGAGGTGTTCCATCCCCCTGATGATTTTCCTGGCCCTCTTCTGGACCCGCTCCAACAGGTCTGTCTCTTTCTTATGCTGAGGGCTCCAGAGCTGGACGCAGTACTCCAGGTGGGGTCTCAGAGTAGAGGGGCAGAATCCCCTCCCTCGACCTGCTGGCCACGCTGCTTTGGATGCAGCCCAGGATACAATTGGCCTTCTGGGCTGAGGGCGCACATTGCTGGCTCATGTCCAGCTTTTCATCC